GAGTGAGTGAGAGAGAGAGAGAGAGGGGGGGGAGGGCGCATTTAAACGAAGAAAACATCATTTTTCCGCCCACTTCAAACACTATTTTTGAATATCTTAATCTATTTGAACAGCTACCCAGCATTGTTAATTTGCTTTCTTCTAATTCCTGCTTTCTTTTCTTTTTCAGTCACAAAATGAAGGAGAGAGCCAGCCTGCGAATGAAGAGAAGAGAAAATTTGACAGGATCTCAAGTTTGAGCGGAGGTTTTGGAGGTTTTGGGAAACGAGACGGGGAAGGCGGATCTACAGAAGAGACCGGAGATGTTGAGGGCAAAAACTCCGAGCAGACGACAGAGGAAGCCTCAGAGGCCGGTGACGTCACGGATGAGGCTAATTCCTCCATGGCGAAGAGAGGTTTTGATTCGATCTCTAGTGTCAGCGGATTTGGAGGTTTTGGCAAGAAATCGGGAGAAAAGCGACGATTCGACTCCATAAACAGTTCGGCGTTCTCCGGATTTGGGAAACGACCATTTGACGGAATCGATTCTGTGTCTGCGTTCAGTCAGTTTGGGAAGAGACCGTTTGATGGCATCGACTCCGTCAGCGGGTTTAGTCAATTTGGAAAACGACGACTCGACTCTATCGCTGGATCAAGTGGCTTCAGTAACTTCGGCAAACGGCGATTTGATTCCATAGCGAATAATAATGCATTTTCTGATTTTGGAAAACGACGACTCGACTCTATCGCTGGATCAAGTGGCTTCAGTAACTTCGGCAAACGGCGATTCGATTCCATAGCCAACAATAACGCATTTTCCGGATTTGGCAAAAGGCGATTTGATCCCATAGCAAACAACAATGCATTTTCCGGATTTGGCAAAAGGCGATTTGATCCCATAGCAAACAACAATGCATTTTCCGGATTTGGCAAAAGGCGATTTGATCCCATAGCGAACAACAATGCATTTTCTGGATTTGGAAAAAGAAGGTTCGACTCTATATCTAGCAATGGACAATTTGCTCTGTTTGGAAAACGAGATGCGTCCGACGGTCCCGCTCTCGAGGCTCCATCCGAGTCTGAGTTTGGCCCGGAGCCGCGAGAGCTTAACGGGGACGAGAAGAGAGCCTTTGATAGAATATCGGGCACATCTGGGTTTACATCGTTCGGAAAACGATCTTTTGATCCCATATCCGACTCCAGCTTTGTTGGGTTTGGAAAACGACCCTTTGACAGAATTTCTTCCTCGGGCTTCAGGGGCTTTGGGAAACGACCTTTTGATAGAATTTCTTCCTCGGGGTTTAGAGGTTTTGGGAAGCGACCTTTCGATAAAATTTCCTCCTCGGGTTTTAGGGGATTCGGGAAACGACCGTTTGATAGAATTTCCGACTCCGGGTTTGTAGGTTTTGGCAAGCGAGGTTTCGACAGCATTGGAGATTCCGCTTTCACAAGTTTTGGTAAAAGACCATTTGATAGAATTTCGAATTCTGCTTTTTCTGCCTTTGGAAAACGTCCGTTCGACCCAATCGCCAGTTCCCAGTTTATCGGCTTCGGAAAACGGGAGGACGAACTGATGGAACAAAACAGCGAGAATGAGAACGTTCTCGCCGACAGTATGGACGGGGCTGATGGTGACAGCTCCAAACGGTCATTTGACAGAATAACAGACTCTTCCTTCAGGGGTTTTGGCAAAAGACAAGTGGGCGACACTGGAAGTGACGTAGAGAAAAGGAGGCTTGACAGTATTGCCGCGGGTTCTAGGTTCGCATCCTTTGGGAAGAAAGATGGCCAAGAGAGTGACAAGAGAAGGTTTGATCCAATTTCAGGAGTGACTTCATTTGGTACTTTTGGTAAACGAGAGAAGAACGATGACGAAGTAAGTAGTGAAAAGAGGCGAATGGACAGTATTGCTGGTGGCAGCTCTTTCAGCTCATTTGGCAAGAGAGTTCCAAATTCTGAAGTGACAGAAAATGCAAACGACAACACCTCATCAACGTCAGAGAAAGTCCAGAGCAGAAGAAAAAAGCGGGACACAAGCAAGGCAAACAAAGAAGGGGACGTCACTCTTAGCTTAGTAGACAACCCGGAAGAGAAACAAACAGAAACCAACAAAGTAAGCAAACGGCGGTTTGACAGTATCGACACCAGGAGCGCTTTCCGTCGTTTTGGTCGAGCATTTGATAAAATCTCTTCTTTAAGTAGCTTCAGAAATTTTGGCAAAAGAGACGATGAAACAGATGACGACAGCAATAACGAGCTTCTGTCTGATGTTCGGTTAGCGGCGAAGAGAAGGCTGGACAAAATCAGCTCAGGAAGTTCTTTCAGAGAGTTTGGAAAACGTGAAGGCCTAAAGGATACCGATGATGCACTGGATGGCAACGATGTCGGAAAACGTAGATTCGACTCTATAGCCCCATCTAGTGGGTTCGGCGGCTTCGGTAAGAGAAGGTTTGACAGTATAGGGGATGGCCTGTCGGGTTTCCGTACGTTCGGGAAGCGACGCCTAGACAAAATAGCTGGGATGTCCAGGTTTGGCGGCTTTGGAAAACGTAGGTTCGACAAAATAGCTAGCAACAGCGCCTTTGCTGGATTCGGGAAACGCCGATTTGACAGCATAGCTAGTAGTAGTCCTTTCTCTGGGTTTGGGAAACGGCACTTTGACAGCATAGCAGGGAAGTCTGCCTTTGGTGGGTTTGGGAAGAGAAAGTTTGACAGCATCGCCGGCACCAGCGCTTTCTCCGACTTTGGCAAGAGAAGATTTGACGCCATCGATCGTGCAAGCGCATTCCGAGTTTTTGGGAAACGAAACAGCGCCCTGGGCGAGGGAGATAACCAGTCCGCCGATAACCTGCTCGCCTGGGCGATGCTCGACGCCCTGCTCTCCAAACCGGAAACGTCTGTGGCGTCAGAGGTGTCCAAACGACGCTTCGATCCCATCGAACACTTTAGCATGTTCCGCCGCTTTGGGCGCGGGCTCCCCCTCCAGACCCCAGCTGTGGCCGACACTTTCTCAGACTTTCCCCAGGAATCTACAGACGATATTCTCGACGACCTGAGCGAGGAGGAATCGGAGGAACTAGTGGAACTCTTGATATCGCTCGCCCGCAAAATGGCAGAATCAGACGTGGATAGCAGTGATGTGTATTCATAATGTCTTCTTTAGAAATTTTAGTAGTTGGCCATTAAAGTATGTCTGTTTGAAAACTTATTCGACTTAGGTAAGAACTGATTTTACGTCAATCCAAGAATAAAAACCAACAGCAAAAAGTCAAACTCTATTCCGATCGTACCTGTATCCAGAGAGAATGACTTTGAGATCAGACAATAGCGCAGCTGTGGGCGCCGTAAAGATTTTACCAAAAGACAACGAGGCGAACTAGTGCAACCGTGAAAGTTTAGCTCTAGCTGAGCATACATCTAAAACAATGGTACTTGTCATCAACAATTGTCGCTCACTCCCCATTCTCCTTTCAAAACCCTGCATGTTTCAGCAGAGTTCTTGAGCGACCTCGTGACAACCGTTTATGAATCACAAAAAACCCCGATATGTTTCTTGATTTGGTCATTTCTCTAAAATGAATAACGCTAACAGTTCACAACTCGCGGGCAAAGATGAACTATTCCCTCAGATGAACGCAAAGTCCCCTGTCGCTGAGAAATATTATTGTTCCACATAAACAGATGGTTCAGTTGTAGAGCTGCTGTCTTCACTCTACACATGCATTCCCTTTTATTTTTCATTCATTTTTGAGCTATGAGATTAACGAATCAACGTGTTCGGGTACTCACGCGTTGAAGATGTGAGTTTAGTTTTCTTTTCACATTAACAATGAAGAGCTTCTGGGATTCACAGGCAATCCTGTCACTTTTAATAAAGGTCTAGTGTTTTGTTTTGTTTTGTTTCGTTTTGTTTTGTTTAAACATTTTTTCTATTATTTCATCAATATTTTGGTTTTAAAGAACTGTTTTTTAAACAAAGCGGATTTTCTTGAATTAGAAAACTGTGTTTGATGAGCAAGAGAGACGCTTTTAAACATCGCTTTCCTGCTGATTCGCTCATTGCAAGTTTCGTTAGAACATAAACCTGAATTTTGTGATGCTGTACCTTATATTTGCCGGACATTTTAGTCTCTCTCAACAAGGTGGTTAACTATGCTTTGGTAAAATTATTTTAAAGATGACCCAACTAATCTTCCTATCTCCGTCGTTCTATTTCAACTCCAACTGGTCTTGCCAAACTGATTTCTATCTATCTATCTATCTATCTATCTATCTATCTATCTATCTATCTATCTATCTATCTATCTATCTATCTATCTATCTATCTATCTATCTATCTATCTATCTATCTATCTACCCACCCCCATCTCTCTTTCTCTCTCTCTCTCTCTCTCTCTCTCTCTCTCTCTCTCTCTCTCTCTCTCTCTCTCTCTCTCTGTGTCCCTTTCTCTGTGTCTTATATCTCCCTTCTCTCATTTTTTTCCATCCATGGCTTATAACATCGCTACCCTATCCCCGCTTGACACAATCGTTCTTGCACTATCAGCCACTTCAACTATTTATTAGTTTACGTTTTCATCTCTGGCTTGGAATTTTGGAAAAACCAACAACAGTAATATATTTCACAGTATGTTGTAACAAGCTTGATCAATGCACTGTTGCTACGTGATAAAGAGGAGGACACATTACACGACTTATGTCAGGAGAACAAAGATTTCTGAGTTGGATTTATTTTTATTTGTTTGCTTGTTGTTTGGCTGTTCGTTTGTTGTTGTGTTTTTTCTGTTTACTGTTATTGTTTTTTCTTATTGTTGTTGCTGTTGTTGTTATTGTTGTTGCTTTTTTGGTTCGTTGGTCTATCATTAAGGCTCTCAGATGTTGATTAAATCATAAACGTGTTCTTAGTGTTGTGTAAAGCTCTCAGACGTTGTTATAGAAGGAAATTACTTGAAAGTCACTGCTTAAGCTGCAGTCGTCGCCGCTTCTGGATACAGATAGCAATGTTGGCACAGAATGATGATGATGATGATGATGATGATGATGATGATGATGATGATGATGATGATGAAGATGATGATGATGATGATGAAGAGAGAGAGAAGAGAAAGAGGGAGAGAAAGAGAGAGAGAGAGAGAGAGAGAGAGAAAGAGAGAGAGAGAAAGAGAGAAAGAGAGAGAGAGAGAGGGGGGGGGTTGAAAGGAGTGAGTTCGGAAATGTACTGCGAGCTCAAAGTGTTTAGTTTGAATTTGATTGAAGCGTTGATTTGGAGAAGACATAGAAAAAATGCACCCCCCCCCCCCCCCCTGCCCCTTTTCCAAATAAAATAAATAAATAACAGCAGCAAAACAACCCAGCCAACCAAACACCAATATCAACATCATCATCGTCAACAACAACAACAACAACAACAACAACAGCAGCAACAACAACAACAACAACAAATTACAGGATATGGAGAAGACAGGGTAGGCATTGAAAAAGCAAAGTAGATATGACGATAAAAAAACAGCCCCCTCCCCTTTTTTTTTCTTTTTGTTAATTAACAATTTTGACTCACCCGAGCTTCTTGGGATAGCTGAGTTAACCATCAATATCAATGAACTTATTTAAATTCTTGCAAAAGAAAACTGACGGGTCTTTGAGGACCTCACATTCAGGACTATTAAGGCGTCTTAGTTTAGAAGTCAGGAAATTGAACTTTTTATAAAGCCTATGTAGCCTGCTTCAAGATGATGGGTTAGATTCCATCGCTAATGGCAAAAAGATTGTAACTATTAATTTTGCAAGGGGGCTCTCGTGGCCAAGAGGTTAAGGTGTTCACCTCTCATTCAAAGGTCCCGGGTTCGGATCCGGGTAGTGACCGAAAAATCATCTTCTCTAAGATTGTCTCCTTTCACCTCCTTTCCTGCTGTCTAGCAAAGTTCTGTCTTCTGCTTTCGTCTCTCCACTTTGTGCCCCCACCCCATCACCTCCTTTGCCCCCTCCTCTGAGCTCCTGACTCTTTCTGCAGCCTTTCTACTGCTACACTTTGGCTCCTTCTTACTACTGTCTTTCAGCCACACCCGTGATCTTCTGGTAGGAAGGATCTACACCTAGCCTTCTCGGACAATTTTCAGTAGTTTCAGTAAGAAAAAAGGAGGAGAGATCAGGATGATAAATGTTTGATAGGAAAGAAGGAGCAAACAACACCAGAGCATCCACCAACCACCCATCTTCTCGGACAAGGGCGAAAAATCTAGGAGGACCCGTGTGCAAGTCGCGCACATTAAAGATCCCTTGGTGTTCTAAAATCGACAAGAGTAGGCTTTGGCCTCCACCCGGGCAAAATTCCAAATTTCCTACCAACTGAAAAGGTTAAATATTGTGTCCCGCGCGCTCATATGACCTTATGCAGTTGCGAGCGTTGTAAAACCCTTATAAAAAAATGTTTTAAAATAAATTTGCCCACATCGACGATTTAGATTATTTAGGAGGTGGGCTGCTTCCGGCATACCAGGCAGAGCCAACCCTGCGTGAGGTGTGTACGAAATCCCAGCACACAGACGGAGATAGGCTATTTAAAAAAATATTTTAAAACCCACGCGGGAATAGAACCACGAGAGAAACAGTAAATTAATAAATAATGTTATTAGAGCAACAAGTGAGGAACAATAATTTAATTTCAAAAGTCATGCTCTATTTCCTAGGAA